GATACGTCAGGAGCATTCATCACGGCAACTCCCTTCCTGCATTCATCCCTGATACATTGCAGGAGTTTTGTTAAATCTATACAAACTATTTCACCCTTTTTGCCCTTTTTGTCAGTGTACTCAGATAGAATGTGATAAAATTCTGGAACTGTTTTAATACTGACTAATTTTAAACAATAATAATCGAAAATAGAAGAAATCGACGATTTTGTTATTCTAGTTTTTAATTTTTCAATACTCACGACAAAAAACGAAACGAGAGGTAAAAAAAGAAAAAATAAAAGACGGAAAATCTCAAGCAGTTACCTGATTAATCCATAATTACTTCGGCAACCTGAATTGACGTAAAATTGGAATTCGCTGAACAATAATGAACGCTGAAGCAAGAATACCAGCGTTCTTGCTACGTGGAAATAATCATCTCTCGCGGAAAAATTGCTGTCATCGAAGGAAAGCGTAACAAAACGTAAGATCAATTAATTGCACTGTACGTCGAAACGATGGAAAAATGTTGAAATAGAAAACAAAAGACCTGCAGTTATTTCCGTCGACTAATTGAATCATTTTCTTTTCCATCCGGCTTTAAGCGTCAATTTTCTATCAAAATAAGATTCTTGCTAGTTTGATTTTCTGGTGTGCAACCTGAAATAATTTTACGTGTGTGGGCCATATCAAAAGTTATTGTAATTTTAATCTAGAAAGTGAGCAGCTTTTCAATATAAAGAGAAAAAACGGAATACTTCATGTAATAGTGTTAGACAAATTGATTACAGTAAGTATATATATTAGTAGAACTAGTACGCAATCTGTTTAATAAGCGAAGCCCCTCAGGGTCGGCCAACATAAATCGACAACATCTGATAAGCGAAATTGCTTCATATCGCCAGTAGTCTCGCTCATGGCGGCAACGCAACGGCCTATATCAATACAAATAAATCTACACTACGATATTCTATTATGTTCAACGTGCGCGCATGTGTGTGTTCGAGTTGGCACGAACCCGAACGACCGACCGGATGATAGTTATTGATATTTTTAATCAATTTTCGATCGCTCGATTTCGGTGCGTCGGTACACTAAGTGTTCTACAACCCCTGCAGCCACAGACTGAGCAGCCCTCATATCTCAGGATCAATATCGATATCGGTATCGGAGCGTTTTGTTGCACGCTCGCTGCAGAATTTATACGCACGGTCCGGTCGTCGAGACTGCAACCAGGTGCGAGCCCTATTACTTTTATCAGCAACATTCATCTTGAGCTGCTCGAGCGCTTTCTACGGGTTTTCGGCGGCGGGCTTGAGGAAGGAATCGCTAGCGCTTGATAGTTTACACCAGCTGCAGCAGCACAATATGTGCTTTATTGACAACTTTGAGCACATGAGCACCCAGAGCGGAAGCGAGTCAACTCAAGCTCTATAAGGATATTCGGGTACACGTAGCAAAGGTGCGGTCGTTGTGGACGTCGTCGAATGCATAAAAAGGTTTAAACCCCACGTAATAAACACTGCAAATGCCACACCGATGGTTTAACCTATTAATAACGGATTTATAGATCGTGTGTCAAAAGGAATAGAGTTCGGCCCTGTAAATATTTGCGGCATATAAATATCAGTAGTAAAATCCAAGACAATGACGCGAGCATGCGGTGCACTGAGCGGCGCAAATAAAACGCCGGCCGTTAATTTACGACCACATAAAGCAATGGTCAGCGCAAAACGTCTAATAATTTATATGGTGTAGGTGTATTACAATCGCCAACGACCGAGACCCGCGAGTATAAAGATATAAACGCTGAACGTACTAGTATTTCGATACAAATTTACTGAAAAAGGAGCAAGAGACTATCGTGATGACCAAGTTCACCTTGCGCCACCATAAATGAACGTCAATTTTATTACAAATTCAAGTTTATATAGTTCACATTCAAAGAGTTTTTTCAAGCGGTTGTATTAAAGATGTTGGAGTTGTAAGTTGGACCGAGATTGCGAAGGCGAAAAGACAAATTTCAACTTTCAACAATTCAACTCCCACATCCAGAAAAGAGCGCGCCACGACTAATTTATTAGCACGCGCGCGCAGTGCCGCGTTTTTAATTAACGGTGTAACTTCTACATTTTAATTCGCTAATTAATATCGCCCGCGACATAATTTAATAAGCCGCTCATCTCAGCAACCGCAAGTTTTCGCTGTGACTAAAAGTCACATCTTCTTCATCAACTTTGCCAACTAAGCCAGCCACTTCGTGCCTTTTTTTATCCTCTCTGTGAATATTAAACACATTAAACTGAAAATTTCACGCCTACATAAGATAATTAATCATTGTCTGCTAATGTGTCGACGAGAATGTGAAACCGGCGGGGTTTATTAAATGTGATAATAGGAAATGAGCGCGGCGCTAAATCGTTAAATATGCATATATTCCCAAGAAGTTGCACGAACTTTCCCAGCGCGGAAACTGGTGATTTTCGCTGTCAAATTTAAACTTTACGCTATTCGACGCACAGGAGGCAGGCAACCAGCGCAAAACTGTCGGTTGAAATTGCAAGCGCGTCGCTTATAACTATTTCTTCTTGAAGTCGTAGCAAGTCGTAGCAAGGTACACATGAAGTTAAACTTAATAAATGTGGCTGTGGCGAATTAGCTCCTTGCATTACGGTTTAATTCAGGCTTTCGGCGGTAAACTCAACGCAAACTACATATTACGGAATGTTTTTAACATCCAACCGTGTTATAAACATTGCGGTGTAAATTTTGCGGCGGCCATTTTGAAAGCTGCCATTGACAGATACGTCGACGATTGCGTTAGGTTTTTTTTATGTTGTGTTGTGTTTGCACTCGTTCTTGTTTCGGCATTAATTTTCCGTTTTGTTCATCCGGACAACTCAATTCCGGTTAATATTTACCGCCGCGCACGGAACGGAAGCCCACGCACTGCCAGACGGGCCGTTACGGGCGAGCAAACAAAGTCGGCGGCCACACAAACATGCCGCCCGTCCTGACCTCCCGATTTGGACGGGACAGCGAACAAATAGACGAGAAATTAATTCCGCTGCAATCTAACATCTGCCCTAAAGGCGAAATAATGTAAACTTTTAAGCCAAACGCAATGACTTCATTAATAATACCCCGTGAACAAGAAGCCACCAACAAACCGATGACATAAACCGACGATTTCCGCACCGATTTTATTAATGCCCCGCTTCATGCTGAATTATAAATGGATTTTTTTCGGTATGTTCGTCGCCTTAGCACGAAAACAAAAGCTGCATTTTTAAAGAAATCTCTCGCTTTCCGGGGTGTATGCGAACGTTATTAATATTACAGCTAAAACTGCGGGCGAAACGCTTTTAAGCATCTTCGAAATTTCCTTCGCGTAAACTTTTTCTGCGCTTTTCGCATTCTTCGCGTTCCTGCGGCTGCCGCAAATCGCAGCGTGCATCCGCAGTGTTTCATTTTTCAAAGCAACCCAGCGGGCTTCGTTATGCATAACGCGTGCACGAGTTTTATTTTGTTTCGTTTCGGCTCGCATTTATTAAAAGTTTTTATTAAGTTGCCGGAAAGTTTGCTAGTTTGCTTCGTTTTTTAGGAAACCGAAACGCAATATAATTTCGAATTGAATTAATGTAAAGTGCCTGCTAGAAAGTACTGCGAACACAAAAAGAATGCAAAAAAAGGTAGGGAGAGAAAATATAAAGAAGCAGCTACCAACTTTAAGATAGCCGCTTAAATTACACACCTTAATCCATGTTATTAAGACCAACCAAGATGGGGAGAGGCTGCGGTGAAGAAGCCGCGAGTGCACAATGCAAGTTGCGCATCGGACGTCAATCCCGGCGAGAGATAAATTGAGTATGGGCACCGCCGCACGCCGAATCTTGATTGATATTGTCAATCAAGTCATTTCACGCATGATTCCACGTTATTACCGCGCCGTCGCAGCGTTAATAACGCGCGGCGTTAATGTAAACGCATTCATTTCGATCTCAATCTCGGATCGCTTCTGTTCGTCGCTCGATATTAATAATTTCAACCTAGAATTAACCTTATATTCGTCGCGTTGTTAGGTGTAATATTAATAATCATAAAAATTAATAAATCGTAGCGAAGCCTATAATTATTTATGATTTACATGTAAATCCGAGGGCATTGTGCCGCCACAGGTAGAGAAGTGAAGCCGAAAATTAAACGCGCCGCTAATAAAGAAGAAGCCACACGAGGCGAAACGAGAAAAACTTTTTAACGTAATTTGGAAGTTCCTTTTGCAGTCTTGGAGCTTCGATGTGGACGCAAGTGTGCGGATTGCGGACGAACGCGAGGAAATTAATCGAATAAATCTGCAAGCCAAATGGGATGACGTTGACGAGCTGCATAGCCATATTAGGGCGAGAAGAGATTTTTTTCTCTCTTGAAGCTGGTGAATCGCCCCGCAATCTGAAGCCGATCGTTGGTAGATTAATTGCCTCGTGATGGGGGAGTAATGCATTAAGCTCGTTTAAGACAATTAGAAAGTCATATTATCGATAAAAAACATTTTGAAGTAAAACAACATAAAAAATGTGTACGTGTTTTTTGCCAAATTGTGATGACTATAGAAATATAGCGATTATTGTTGTATGTTGGCGTCGCAGTAAAAAATGTGCTCTTTGTGTACATACGTCATTTCCCATTTGCGTCCATAAAGTTTTGATTGGGTCGTTCCGTTTTTGCGGCGCTGGGTGCGAACGCTCCTTCCGGTAATCCCCACAAATCGTAAAAAATGTCAAAAGTTTATGCGCGAATGTAAAAATAAAATTGGCATAGAACAAACACATTTATTCCCGAACTGACTGGGCGTCGAAAGGTGGCGTTTTTTTGCCATCAAACAATACAAAGCAAAAAAGGCAATCATGACAAATTTTATTTCATACTCGGACTTGAACCGACAACACGAAACTTCGATTTATGAAATTTAGGGAACTAATTGACTCGCAAAACTGTTTTGTGAGTTAATTGTCATTTACAAAAATAGAATAAAATACAGGAAATAAAACTGTTTTACACAACTCAAATTGAGTTACCATTGGAAAACAATAAATAAACAACAACCTTGTTTATATAAATGAAACGAGCCTAGTATTTAGTTAAAAATGTCATTTGCTATGAAAACATTTGTCATAATATTAATTTTTTTAGTCTGTGGGAATGAAGCATCCCTCTACGGCGACACACCCTACGTTGACGAACTTCATCCTAATGACCTGTACGAACTGGTGCGCGATCAGACCGAAGGACTTTGGATCGTTCAGTTTTACCACACCAACGACCCAACTTCAGAGGACTACGTTTCGAATTACTCCATTGCTGCCAAATCAATGAGCGGATATGTTAGATCAGCCGCAATAAATATAGAAAAACACCCTCTGATTCAATTGGTGATGAAAATCACCCAAACACCAACGTATGTTTTCTACGGATACTACAAACACATGCCTGAATCTAAAATCACTTTACTGGTCGTTGATGATCTTCACGAGGAGACCTCTAAGCAATTGGTGCGCGTATTTGAAGAACGCAGCGTGTATCGTTTCATCCACAACAAAAACAATATGGAAATGGGTACTGCTGACTTAGATTTAAACATGATGGCATCAAAAATACCATGGTTAGTTGTTTTCTATAAAAGAGATCACCCACGAACACCACGCATAGCTAAGATTTGGGAGGAACTTGTAAGTATGTTCCATGAGAGGATACAATTTGGTAGTGTGAACAACCCGTTATATAATGCCTTATCAATTGATGATGGCGAGTACCCGCTGGTTAAATTTTATCCGAAAGGTAACAAAGAAGAAAAGAACGCCGAAAACATTACTGAAGACCTTTCCCTTGAACATCTGACTAAATACCTGGATGATAAGATTATGTCTACCAGGATCAGACCACAACGCATTGTAGATATACACTCTGTGGAACCTTGCCTGAAGAAGAAATTTTGCATTTTTGTTTTCCTACCCAATGCAGTAGAATATCAAGGAAATAGTTTGGCGGTGCTGTCAGAAGAGTGCAGCAAACATGGTAGACGTGCATGGGGCTGGTTCTGGACCTACTATTATGAACAACCTGACATTGAAAGTGTTTTCAGCGTTTCAAAGCAATCTGGAGTTTATGGAACGGTCGCAGTGCTCAACGTCCATGCTGCTATGTACATGAAAATATCATTAGTGGAAGAATTGAATGCTAAGGTTTTAAATGACATCGTAGAAGCTATCAAAGATGACGCCGGGTTTACTTATCATGTTACATCTAAAAAGATTCCAGAGGTAAAAGTAATCAACACTGATGCTAAACGAGATGAACTCTAAAAAATGTACTTGTTGATAATTAAATAAAGAAGTTGTGCGGTGATTTTATACAAGCTGTCAAGTTATTTTAATATGCAAACAATGCAAATTGCTTAATTTGCCGTGTAAAAATATTTGCTCAATGCAACAATTGCGCGAAAATTCCTAAATGAATTGCCCGAATTCAGCCGCACTGACTTGCAGACTTGCAGATGAGCGGACTCAACCAGCATGCCAACGTGCCAACAAATTGCTCTCATCGGGGATGGACGAAACAGACAAGCATGTGGACTGGTTCTCGGTGGTCAAGTGGGGGCACCATTCGTCAACGTCCATATTTGGACACACACACTACACGTGCATAGAGAGTTGCAAGAGCATGGTAATTAAAAGACACATAAACTGCACAACTGCATCAACACCCATATAACGCACGTCCGCGGAATGACGAGCCGTTGATTAATACAGCGGCCCTTGCACCACCTTAAACTCCTTAAACGCACGAAAGCACTTTGCGCACCAATAAAAGTTAAAAAATCGCAAGTGCCTGGGTGCGCGCACGCTGAAAAAAGCGATACGCAGGAGAACGTGATGGCGCGTTCCGAGGGTTAAAAAAATATGAATGTCTTGAACCGTATCGCGCACACACACCGAAACTGGATACGGCGAGTATATCGCGCTGAGAGACATACCTGTGTGCACACGCGCGCGTACACGTTGATACATGTGGCTCGGCAACTCGGCAAGCGCTAATTACCTTGCCTTAATTTCCATTTATATTTCATGCGCTCGTTTCGGAGCGTTTTGCATGCGAATTGTGGTCGGTTGTTGGCGTTTGTGAAAATTGTATTAGCCCAGCACCAAGTGCACAAGAATTACGTCCGCGTTTGTTTGTTATTATGCTGTTTTTTTTTTTAGTATTTGTTTTATTATTATATCTCCGTCCGCTGTGTGCAATTCGGTCAAAATGACTATCATAGAAATGGCACGTTTTAGTTAATTTTTACAATTTTTGAACGTTAATGGAAATGCAGGAAATTCTTTTTGTAATTTCACGTGCGCGTCACTACCATAAATGAAAGTGTTAAAGAATAATGAAGGGTGTAATGAATAATGCAGTTGTTGTTTATTTTTTCTCTCCGCCGTGAGTTTCCTGGCCTTTTTTGCGCGCGTTTTCGATTCCATTTGGTCATCGACAATGCGTAACAATCACGTATTTTTTATGTGCGGTAAGCGGACGGAATCTATAATAGAAACACGTAGTTTATTTACGTTTGCGCCATAGTCGGACTGGTTCCCTACTGAAAAGGGAAAGCACAAGAGAATTAACAAGAGAACCGCGCGAAAAACTCGTCTGCGGGTCTTTCAGCTCTCAGAGGCGCGCGGCGTCTCGCGGACGTCAGGTTTTCTTTTACCTGATTGACTTTTATTTCATTAGAGCCACACTTCAAGAATATCGACAAAAACTAACCGCAAAGGCTGCTAACAAGACCACGCAATGCGCAAAACGCATTAAACAAACTCTACGGCTGTGAGAAAATCGCATTTTGCCTACGGCGGATTTTTTTGTATTAAAATGCTAATTGTACTGCAAAAACATTTGATTTATGATCGTTTGTACGAGAATTTCTAATGGAAAATCAATTTCGTACTCATTAATTTTTATCAACCGCTCGCGTTGCCCTAATTGATGAGTATCAATTTATGAAGGCCTCGTTCGACTCGTTTCAACTCGTCACGTAGAAGAAGAGAAGCCGTTGCGGCTTCGGCATCGACTTCTCATGCTGTTTAATCAACATTGATTTATTTTCATTACGCTACCATTACGTTATCACTTAATTAAAATTAACATATTTATTTTTACGGTCAGCCTCTATCTAAATTACTCACCGTGTTGACCAACATGTACGAATAACATAAAAACAAAATCAAACCGAGTAAAAATTACTAAAAGTAAAAAACAACTAAAGTTTTACTGCAGTGCAGGATAAAATAACAGTGATAAGCAAGTAAATAATTGACGTATTTATCGGAAACTTGTTTATTTCAGCATGAAACAAAATCTCTCTCGGTTCGACGGCGCGAAGATAAATGTTTGATAAAAATAAATTCCTCAATCATCGTTCATTAAATTAAAATCTCACAATTGCAAATGCAAATGCAGCAAGCATAAAAAGTAACACCCACAGAATTATAAATCAGCGACCGACGGGGAATCAAAATGCATAGTTATTCAAATTAATTGCGACTTTAATTATGCGTTCTTTTTCACTTCTCTTGCGCTGCATTTTTTGCACCACTGTTCTCCTCTGTAACAAGGCGTCAGCAGTCAGGGCGTACTTGAAACAAGAATCTTAGAGTTTCGCTGAATTCCCCAACCCTCACAGCCCTTGAACGTAACTCTCTTGCTCCCCTCGCGTTCCCTCGTGAAATTAATTAGAATGATGAAGAAGGGCGCGCATAAGTTAACTCGCAGACGAACTTTTGACTCGGCGCGACTGTAAACTGAAACCTCTTGGAGCCGGTTGGCAATAGGCGCCGAATACCAAGAACGAGAAGAGGTCCTAGTTCGACTGTAACTCAATTTCGGAAACAATATTTGTTTTATGCAAACTAAGCGAAAATCACTGTAATAAACACTCAAAGCTAGTTAATAAAGTAATAATTATCTAAAAACAAATATTTCTATAATAGTAATATAGAAGTTAATCACTTGAAAATGTAGACTATAACTTAATTAAATTTTTACTAAGTGCATTTTGTTTAGATATCAAAATCCATGCAGCACTTTACATAGTCTCGGGGCGAGCTTAGAACCTGAGGAAATATAAAGCAAACTCGGCAAAGTTTGAAACTTGTATGTGTATGTTTTGCGACTTTACATCGTAAGATATTATGCATGATTCACGCGTACCTGTCGTAGATCAAACCCGTGCCGAAGCAAAACGTTGTAAACTAACCACTATCGCTGGGGAACGGGAAGCGTGTGTTCGGTGCGCTTGCTTCCTAAACGAACGAGCGCTAAGATCTTAACGCGCACGAGCGCGACGCAACCAAGCAGAACCGCGGTTTTCAATAACTTCTCGTAAAGCGCACAACCTGACGTGTGCTTCGATCCGCAGGCCCTCAAACTCTCGTTGCGGCGAGCGCCAAACTTGGAAATAATCCGCCGGAAAGCACATCAAATGCGAATTTGATAGTTTGCTACTACTACCAGTACTAATACTACTACCATACACAGCATGTTATAAAATATAAATAAAAGTTCAGCTCAGCATTTATTTTGTCGGATAAAACTACTCCTATACGAAATCAATTTGAAGTTTACGCCCCGATGGCCAGAATTAATAGTGCAGCTTCATTGCATTTGCAGTCACACCCCTGCCACCCCAACTGAAAAAACTGAAAATGCATGAAGAGGAAAAAAAGTTCTGTAGCCGAGTGACTGACTTAGGAGTTGGTTTGTAGTTAGGGATAGGTTCGAATGAACGATGAAGTGGATTTATTCCGGGCGTTGCCATACGAGCATGCAGTAAGCTCACATTTCAATTATCTACTCCCGCGGGAGAGGGCGGCAAACTTTTCTTTTGCGACGCGTCGCAGAGACGGTCCCCTAGTACTTTTATTATGTGGTTCGCCACAGTCGCCACACACCACTCAGGACTTGCATTGCGGGTTGGCGGTGGTTTCGTGAGTTGCTAGTTGCTAGCGACATTTTCTTCTCCTAATTACTTTTAATGATCGGAACGTTGTTTCGTGAGTCACACGCATCAGATGTGGCAACTCATCGACAAAGATAGAGGTGTGTTGAATGACGAGGTTCTGATGTGCATTATGTCTATTAACGAGGATTTGAAAAACTACAAAATGCTTAGGGGTGCTTTTTACCTTAATTTACTGGGAGTGAAATAGTATTTTTACTGCTCAGGCAGTGGATTAAATTTTGTTGCATGTTTGTAAGAAAATAAACAGCAGCCATTTACGCATTTGCCCCAAATCACTGTAATACCTACCAGAACAACTCTTTCCGAGCAGAAACGTAAGCAAAATAAGTTGGTAGCAAAACGAGAAAATAAAAAGAAATGACCAAAAGAATTTCGCTATTATGCGCATTGTCGTCGTCGGGCCTGAAGCCGTTGTGCCCGTTGTTATGCGTTGTTGCGCGCTGTTCAAGCGAGCTACTTACAACCGTCGGCGAGATAAATGCGAGATTATTCCTGATTTATACCGGCGCTGAGTACGCCGAAACGGACATAACGAACGTAGCGAATCGGCGCGCGGCACGTCGAAAGCACAAAGCACGCGACATTAAAGACGCAAAGACGCTGTGTGCCCGATTACTGCGCGCCGACCAGAAATCAGCCCCGCACGAAACAAAATCATTTTTACATATTACCTCGATTCGCATATCAAGATCGCTCTTTATCGGCGGAACGTATTGCTCCTAACGTCTTAACGAGCTTTTTGAATGTTTCATCTTACATCAGTTTAGTATTACCCACTGTTATTATTGCATGTGTATGTGCACGAACACGCAGGCGACTGCTGACGACTTCTTAGTTCTTAGTTTGGCTTCTTTGTTCGCGAGCGGATTCCTTCAATGCGACATGGAATAATTGGAGAATAGTTTCGTGCGGAAATAAGGAAATAAAGCTATTATGGCAAAAGTGCAACTGGAATAGTTGGACGTAAATGTTAATCCCGTGTAATAGAATCAGATTAGTTAATTGCAATGGTACGTACGGGCAACGTCCTAATGGCTAATGGCATAATTTTGACATTAAGACGCAAGGAAAGCGCAAAGATTGTTTTTTGATAGCTTTCTAAACAGTTTGAAAAAATCGTTTAAAATAATGTAACAAAAAAATTGTGTTAAAAATCAGAAAGTGAGTGATGTGGACGAAATAATTCTACTGGGTTGTTGTGCCAAATAGCTGTCTGTCGGCGGTATTTCACGCGTTTTCGTTTCGCCGTCCGACGTCGCGACGCACACACAAACCGCAGCAAACATAGCTAATTCAAATTTAGCTCGACATGCAAAAACGACGCACGCGAAATGCGAAATCGCATCGGACGCTTCTCCGCACGGCCCGCAAACGTAATTTATCTTAACGCCGAAAGGACCGAAACCGAACGCGAAGCGCAGCGTCGCACGATAAAACAAATACTTTAACAAATGTCCTGTCGTTGCCGGCGCGCGTGATTTATTGCGAGCGTGAGACCACAATCGCTCGTTTGGGCAGCGGACAGCGCGCGCGGTTTCAACTGTTTAAAGTCAAGATTAAAGCGTAATGAGAACGCCATCCGCACTCGCGCCCAGTTGAATATCGCAATTAAACGCATTTAACGAATGGTTGCTGAGATAACGAATCGGAAATCGGCGCAAAACGAACAAATCTGGCCCCATTGTCAACGCACGCCCAAGATGGCGCCTGCAATGGAATTTATTCACTTACGAAACACATATTTTTGTTATTACGCGATGCGTACAGTCAGTAAATGTATTTTTAAGTATTTTAAACGACTTTATAAGCAAAATTGTACACAACAAAAGGCGAAATTACATTCGTACAGTTGCGTCATTTCAGTTAAAATTGCGGCAATTAAAAAAAATTAATTGCTTTCTCGCCCCGTACCCGCGGTGTGGTAAGCACCGGGTGAGTGCTTGGGCGGAAGTAAGCTGGCGCTTAACAACACGGCCGGACGCCCCCGATGTGTTTCTTTTTCCAGCGGCAGTGGCAAAAACCTAGACGGAACAAGCATTTACAAGGTTTTATCACCGCTCGAATAATTCAACAACTGTCTGCGTACTGGGATTGCGAGCGAACAAGCCATCCAACCAATCACGTAACAACGTTAACACCAACAACGAGAACGATTTTCTAAGGTAGCAGCAAAGATATGCCATGTCGACTTTTTGTTCAGACCACAAAGTTTTCACTTCACGTGGGTCAAGCATTCTGCGGGTTTTCACGCTACAAGCAATTGTTTACAAAGGACCCACAATGCACGCCCAACCTTGGGCGGTTTGTTGACGCAACGTATCAGCGTGATGTGTATCGCCAGCGAGCGTATTTATCAACAACGCCTTTGTCATACCCTCATAACGTCCAACACAACATGCAAACTGATTTATTTCTATTTGATTTTCTCATTAAATCCAGCAAAAAGTGCCAACGATGCAAACATTTTAGATTTGGGTTAGGATTGTCATGACTGCTGCCATTGTCATCATTCTTTGCCCATAAGATAAAGAAGATATCCTTTTTTACTGGAATAATTTGCAAAAGAGTTCGTTCGCTGGCAAAGAAAGCAATTCGCGAATGTTATACTGATAAGCCCGCGAACAAATGATTCGTAGAAAGTAATTTTTCTTGGGCGTAACAAATGGTCGTACCGCACCATGGATGCAGCTGTGAAAAGAGCGCGGGTTGCCAGTCGAGGCTTCCGGATTGATTAAAAAGTTTTGCCTTCTCATCTCGTCCGCAGCGCAGACGGACGGACGAAAATAAGACATGAGCAACGAAGCGCGCGCGAGTTGAGAAACGGAATGAAATAAAAGTTAAAGTAATAGCGAAGGAAAAGGGTGTAATGGCAGTTGGAGCGGACTTTTTTACTTCGTGAGGCCGGATCCGCACACTTTGTTTTCACGGTGTTTAATTTTATTGTGCCCGAGTCTCGAGTGAATCCTTTGCAATAACATTTTCGTCAGATTTTTGCCAAAAACAAGTTCAGAACGAACAAATCTCAGCTGTACAAGAAGCAGAAAAAAAAGTGAATAAAAGTTTTTTTCGGTCGGTGATGGGGAAACGATGAGTTGGCGTGAGCCGTGACCCAGATTTTCAATCAAAAGGGACGCAACGCGGGCACATATCGAAAAGTTTCCTCAATGCATTGTTAATAAGCTTCTTAATGCCCTAACGTCGTTCAGAATTTCCACACGTTCACACTTTAGATCGAAAACTTTTCAAACAAACTTTCATCACTAATACGAAACCATTAATCTTATCACATGGCAATAATGGAACTAAATTATAAACAAAAATTGATGCAATCGTAAAGTGTGCTAACAAACCCATTAAAACATAAATTCGGCGCGAATGATTTATCCACGATATTAAATTAGAAGTATATTGCGTTTATTGTTTGCTACAAGGGCGAGTCGAGCTAGGGTGTGTGTTTCGGTTTTAATAACAATCCAATTGTTTCCGCGAAGCGCTTAGTACGCCCGTTTGGCTTTCATTTCCGATTTAAAAGGCCGGAAAAACGAACGAGCGCGCGCGCTTCGCACAAGTTAATTAGTTTTAAATTCAAATTTAGGAGTGGCGCGGCCAGCGGGCTTCTCCGAGCGAGCGGCAAATTGAAATGTTTTAATCCGGTTTTCATACGCTTTTTGCCCGTGAGCAAGCGGCCACGTTTCGGGAAGTTAGGTACATTCTTTTACTCGTTTTTCACGTCCACGTATGCACCGTGTTCATGGGCTACATGTTCATTTAGGGGCGATAATGAAAAACGTGTAATGCACACGAAACACACGCTGAAGCAAAGACAAAAAATGTGGAAATATAAGGCAATTTTATTTCTTTTAGGCTTGATTTTTACAATTTTTAATAACTATGTAGTAGCAGAATAAATAATTCTTCCTACCCATACCCAGGGTCAGCAAGAGCCCAAAGATAATAATTAATATCATTGAAACTAAAAGAGCAAGATAGCAACCAAGGAATTGCTGATTATGAAAGATTGGAACATTCTCTATCAGATAAAAATATAATATAATTATATTTCCAATAGTAAAAGATATAAAAACGTGACTAAAAGTGCTAAAAAGTGACATTTTTCAATTTTTGCCCATTTTATTCAATCGCGAATATCTCGTAAACTAAAAGAGATAAATAAGATCTGATCGCAGCGTCTTAATCTACAGACTATTCTCTATAAGATAGGGTAGTTAAAACGGAAATCTCAGAGATGAAATTTTAATTCTTAAGAAAAAATTGCCAAGGGGGGGTGCTTGATACTTTTTTTCGACGATTTTTGATAATTAATATCTCCTAAACTAAAAGTGATAGCAACCAAGGAATTGCCGATTATGAAAGATTAGAACATTCTCTATCAGATAAAAATATAAAATAATAATATTTTCAATAGTAACAGATCAAAAAACGTGACTAAAAGTGCTAAAAAGTGACATTTTTCAATTTTTGCCCATTTTATTCAATCGCGAATATCTCGTAAACTAAAAGAGATAAATAAGATCTGATCGCAGCGTCTTAATCTACAGACTATTCTCTATAAGATAGGGTAGTTAAAACGGAAATCTCAGAGATGAAATTTTAATTCTTAAGAAAAAATTGCCAAGGGGGGGTGCTTGATACTTTTTTTCGACGATTTTTGATAATTAATATCTCCTAAACTAAAAGTTATAGCAACCAAGGAATTGCCGATTATGAAAGATTGGAACATTCTCTATCAGATAAAAATATAATATAATTATATTTCCAATAGTAAAAGATAATTTTTGCCCATTTTATTCAATCGAAAAAACGTGACTAAAAGTGCTAAAAAGTGACATTTTTCAATTTTTGCCCATTTTATTCAATCGCGAATATCTCGTAAACTAAAAGAGATAAATAAGATCTGATCGCAGCGTCTTAATCTACAGACTATTCTCTATAAGATAGGGTAGTTAAAACGGAAATCTCAGAGATGAAATTTTAATTCTTAAGAAAAAATTGCCAAGGGGGGGTGCTTGATACTTTTTTTCGACGATTTTTGATAATTAATATCTCCTAAACTAAAAGTTATAGCAACCAAGGAATTGCCGATTATGAAAGATTGGAACATTCTCTATCAGATAAAAATATAATATAATTATATTTCCAATAGTAAAAGATAAAAAAACGTGACTAAAAGTGCTAAAAAGTGACATTTTTCAATTTTTGCCCATTTTATTCAATCGCGAATATCTCGTAAACTAAAAGAGATAAATAAGATCTGATCGCAGCGTCTTAATCTACAGACTATTCTCTATAAGATAGGGTAGTTAAAACGGAAATCGGAAATTTAATATCTCGTAAACTAAAAAGTGATAGCAACCAAGGAATTGCCGATTATGAAAGATTAGAACATTCTCAGAGATGAAATTTTAATTCTTAAGAAAAAATTGCCAAGGGGGGGTGCTTGATACTTTTTTTCGACGATGATTATTAATATCTCTCAAACTAAAAGCAAGAGTAAAAGATTAAAAAAACGTGACTAAAAGTGCTAAAAAGTTTCAATTTTTTCCATCCGAGTCGCGAGAAATCCTTACAATCCATGTATAGTGCATGCCATAGCTGAGCAAGCAACAACCCGACAATTCATGAGAAGAAAGTAAGATGTGCGCAAAGCCGGCGCGTCGATGGCACGCGACGACTGCCCGCGACCTCGTGTGCGAATAGCATTTAGCACGATACATGCGATCAAAATTAAACTACATACGATGCGGCAACGTGCGGCGTGAGGGGATGGCAACGACGACACAAAAGAATGCGATAAGAAAGTGTAAATCGTGTTCAAAACAAACACAATTCTCATGTCGAATGCCCACGTTTGCTGATAAATATAGAAATAAACAAAACAAGTTAATTTTATGATTTTTAGTTCATGCTATTGCCATCTATGAATGATCCATGGTCTCGGAATTTTGATTAAGTATAAATATTAATAAAAAATAAAATTCAATTAATGTAATTCTGATGTCTTATGCTGCCCGATTGTCAAATTTGACATCAAATATTACAGTGATATTTAATTCGCACACGCATTGTTTCTTGTCATCAAACTACATTGCTGAACAACAATAAAACGTAAAACTAAACTGAAATCTACGTACACGGCAAACATTTTTTAAAAATGATAAAATTATTTTACTTACCGGTTATAGAAGATCGTAAATCGACGACAAGTTGGCAAATCCTAAAATAAATGCGAAACAAAACATTAGTTACAGCATTTCGTGCGATGTTGAAATAAATTTGAGTTCCGTCGGAACACAAACTTTGAACTTGTTTTTCGCATAATAATCATAGAACTGACAATATTTAACTGGTAGCACAATGATCCATGCTCCTCTGTTGATGACAAATATGTTTTTCACAAGTCAATTAATTATTAGCGTTCAGAAAATATCGCAGGCCGTCGCCCGACGGCAACGGACTTCGAAAAACACGTGAATAAATTAAACGCGTAAAATTTAGAATTACAAAGATTACACACGCGATAAATAGCTGATAAAAGATCAAACTCGTTTATCAAACACTAATTATCACCGGCGATTTAGAAAATATAACACGTTGTACCGAACTTGCAACAACGAATAACACAAGCCGAAAGTATGGAATGTGCGCTCGTCGTTATCGCACCGATTGAACAAAACAAAATTCACTCGCTGGAATATTTCGAGGTAAATATACATCGTTGCGCCATCTGAGGACACTTTATAGTACCTCACAAAATAACAAAGTGTTTCAAACAATATGGTGCGCATGTGTGTCAGTGCAGAATTGTTTATGAGGCAGTGAGTGGTCACGCACTTAAATAGAAGCGTTCGTGTGACACACGTACACGAAATTGTGCAAGCACCACCCAATCTAACTGAATAGCAGTTTTGTACACAAATGCAATAAGTCAAACCTAGACAAGGCATAATATTCAAATTTACAAGTGTTTATTGAATATTGAAGAATATATGAATTATTCATCCTTCAATACGTAAATATTATATAATCAACTGTCGATTTTCGTAGGTGAGTATCTCCTAAACTAAGAGAGATAGTAACCAGAAAATTGTAGATTATGAAAGATTGGAAAATTCTCTATCAGATTGAAAATTAAAATAATTTAATTTCATGGAGTAAATAGTATAAAAACGAGACTGAAAGTGCTAAAAATTGCAATTTTTCATTTTTTGATGATTTATTTCAATTGCGAATATCCCGTAAACTAAAAGAGATATATGCGAACAGATTTCAAATTCTTAATCTACGGAAAATTTTCTATGAGATAAGCTAATTAAAATGCATATATAATAGAGGAAATTTTAATTCATAAGAAAAAATGGACAAATGGGAGTCAGCTATACAATCATTCACGTATGGTGCCCTGAACACGAGTCACTTCTACCGCTGCCCTTGTGCGGTGCCCTGAACACGAGTCACTTCTACCGCTACCCTCATACGGTGCCTTGAACACGAGTCACTTTTATCGGCACCCTGTTACGATAAACCGAAAAAGACTCAACTATACAATTGCGATTAATTGCAATTAAACTAAATATACAATATACAATATACAAATCAACGTTCTTAACATATTCGAGTCAATAAACGACAATAGTGCATATCTCTTAAACTAAAAGCGATAGCTACCAACGAATTGAAAGTTATGAAAGATTGGAAAATTCAGCATTAGATAAGAATTTAAAATAATTTAATTTCGTGGGATAAAAAGACAAAAAACGTGACTAAATGGGCAATTTTTCTTTTTTTGTCCCTTTTTTTTTTTTTGGATGGCGAATATCATCCCTCTCATCGGCCCTGCCCATACACATATTAACAATTTGAACGTAAAGCATAAGTAATACTAGTTCCGCGAAGGAAGTGTGCAGAATATTAAAATGTTTACAAATACCAACGCGCAATGCGCGCGTAGGCTACGAGTGCGAGCATTATGTGTTATGCTAATAATAATTTAAAGCGCTTTTACGAGACGCCGAGGGCATAAAGGTAATTTTATTCCGACTTAATATGCTTATAACGCTGCAACTCCTTACATCACCTCCGCGAACGACGCCCCGACATTATACATTACACATCGCACCACATATTCATGAGACCAAGCCGGCGGTGCCAGCCAGGACGACAAAGAAAATCCTGCTGGCATCCCGGATTACGTTTCGCTTAGTTTACGGGCGCCAAACTGTGAAACGCGCCAATATTTCGTGTTCTTCGTTCAGTCGTTCACTCGTTCACTTGTTCACTAGCACGAGCTTCTCAGCTGGAAAGCTCATGCACGATATTACACGCATAAAGTTATTATTTTACAGGGTTACATTAAAGTCACGGTTTCAAATAAACTAATCAAAAATAAACCGTGAACAGTAATATAACACACCTAATCAATTGTATTATAATATTAATTTTAAAAATATTTTTAAAATATTGATTTATAAAATCCAACACTGTATTTTTGAAATTTTAATAAAAACAAGCGCGATTATGTGCATCGTTTCTTACATCTTAGTTAGCGCACAACGCGCTTGGTTGGAGAAGATTCACCCGTGAAGATGCAAACCGTCGCATAGTCATAATTCAATATCAGCACAATTTCGCGCCGAGCGCATGTATACGTTAATGATATAGCATCGAGTGAATTACGCCATTAAGCGCGCGAGGTGTTCGCCGGGCGGACGCGGTATCGGGGCGCTACATAATATTGAATTAATATGCAAATGCACTATAAATTTCGCGTGCGCATTACTCTCGTACGCGCGTTATTGGCATTAAATTATACTTTGCTTAAAGTTTGCGAGCGTGATATTGGCACCAAGTCTTATAGTTTCTACATAAATGAAGACTTACCATGTCCGCATAAATTTCAACTGGAATATCGCTGCTTTTATATAATTATGTATTGTTTATGTTTTTTAACACTCTAATTTTTATATCAAAAGTATAATGGAGAACTGGATATTTCAAATAAATTCACTTCGCTAATATTCCGATTAAAATAAAGAATAAGGCAAGCAAACACAATGTTTCTATTTAGTTAGAATATTATTACGATTTCGTAGCCTTTCGCGCTATCTATACGTTTATACTGCACCTACAGTATTCAAGTCTAAACTGGTCTCGGTAAAGATATTCTACACGCATCAAAATAACACAAGCAGATATCACACACACATACACACATTCATACAGAACTTATCTGCGTGCGAACGAACAAAAACAATTGATAAAAACGACAACATTGCATAGAATCAAACAACAAAATAGATGTACACAATTCCACGATGAAATAAAATAAAATACACAGGTATTTCATTTTATAGAGGTAAAAGTCAAGAAAATTATTTGTCTTCAAAGTTTCAATAAAATTGAAACATGCGAATTATTTTTATAACATTATACAAATCTGTTTTATATCATTTAAAAATGAATCCAACATTTATTACCCATTAAGGCAAAAAAAGTATGCTACCATGAAAAGCGGGCATGTTTTATTGTAAAACTTCATGTACCACGGTAGCAGCAGGAAACGTGGCAAAGGTGCGATAAATAATTTTCGCTTCGTAAAGCGGCGCTAATAAACTATGATAAACGATGGCTGAACGCCCCGCGGCAAAAAGCATCTCAACCGCCCGAATCCAGATCCTTCCGTTGGCGGTTTCGCAGCCTGCCTGGATATGGATATATCCGAGTGCTTTGCGGGATATATGCGCTCCTTCAGGATCGCGTACGCGATGTAACTTTTCTTTCACGCGCGCACACTTGCACGCACACACACCAGTGTTGTTGCGCGAGCGAGCATTAAAAGTAATATATTATTTCGTTGCCACTTTAATGCCGCTAAAATAATGCATGCGCACCGTTTGTGCCTTTCCCAGGAATAAAACCTCGTTGTGAATGGAGCAGAAAGACGTAGTCGAGAATTATGTTCGATAGTAACAGTGCTACGCTTAGATGTTATAATTAATTATCATCGAGATTCGTATCTATCTTCATGTTGTCGCGAGCAAAACGTAAATTACTCATACGAGTCGTACGGCTTCGGCTGGCAGTCTCCATGTCACGCTACTTTATATCAAGTGGCCTCGAGTATGATGTAGCTAAACCGCAGGCTCAACAAGCTGTACTAGCGCACACTTGATTTCCTAGACACCAACTAAACTCAAAGAGAATGAATGGGGAAAATGAAGAAGCAGTGTGGAATTACAACATGTTACACGTTCCCTACATGAACATATTTTTCTAATCATACGACTAGTTTAGGTACAATTTAATATCAAATATCCACGGATAACCCTTGGAAACTAGTTCGAAAGTTAAGGTTAGGGATTGGATTAGTGCTCGACATCGGCATCCTTTGAAATTGAGAATTTATTAAACGTTTAGTATGTTTTATGAGTGTGTGTGCGGCTCACGTGTGCGTGAACACCGCGAAACGCGCGTAAATCGCGAATTCTGTTTCTTGTTTCTGGCGAAGTAACACAAGCAACATCGTCGGCACCGCGGCACACATTTATCAAGCCGCTGATTAATATGCACTTCTACGCGATAGCGGTAGCAATCTTTAATATTATGCCCGGCCCACGCGCGTTTTATTTATGGCGCTTCTCCTCTATCATTAATTGCGAGGAGCGCTGCTGCTTGGTAAAATCTCGCGGTGCGAATGTTTCAATTCGTAACCACAAAACCAAACAATTTTACGCAAATTTTACAAAGAGAAAGAAAATGTACATTTGATTTTGTATTTTCTTAACGACCAAAAGAAACTCTTCTCCCAACCACCTTTTGTGGGTTGATCGCAGGTACAACTGGGTAGCGCACTGAGAGCAAAATCCTCAGTTTTTCAAATTGGTTCTGCTGATTCTATTTTAATTTGAGCTGGACTAACGGATTAAAATTCATTTTCATATAGGTAGACATATAGAATTATCCCTAAGCTATTTTTCCCAATGTCCCTAAGCCCCCATCGATTTTCGTTCTTATCTAACTTTGCCTCACAGTGTGGTCGTATGGGTGCGTCTGCGGAATATGCGATTGGGTTGCCGCATTATTAAATCTAAACATCTGAATCTCGCGAGATGTGCATGCGTAAAAGGGGCGGATTGTGCGAAGTGGGTTTGCGTTAAACGGATGACGGGGGTTTTCCTTTTCCCTCGTGGATCTTTGGTATTATAGCTATTAGTTGCATTGCGGGTAGAGCTCAAGCCACCCTCCTATCTCATCCCCAACTATAGCAATCGAATTTACATGCGACGGCTCCAACGTTATGCGATTGTTTTTTTGTTTGTGTTTTAACCCACTTTTAACCCCACAAAAACGATTTTCAAGCAAAAACTTTAATCTTGAGCTTTGTCAACCAAAAAACATGACAAGAACCCTTATAATATGTTATCTTCAAGAGTTGAACGTTGAAAAATTCCCATCTCATGTTTTTGTGATCATTTTTTCCAGAGTGAATTTACATTAAGCTAATTAGTTTGATGAAAATGCGAATTAATTGCGTCTTTCATGTAAAATTGAAGTATTTCGCTGCGACCGCAGACGAGCGCTCGGCTCAAACGAACTTTCGCAACGGATTAAACTCCTTTGAGACTCGACCGATCTCAACGCAGCCGTACGCATGCATATTTAATTAAAAACTTATTAATTATGAGCGATTTTTACGTGTTTTGATCATCGGATTACAAACTTTTCTAATGAATATTAAATCTTATTAAAATCGCATCAGTCATCTCAACACCCTACGTATAATCGTTTATTTAATTAAAGTTTGCCTCTGTATAGTTGCAGCTGAACAGTTTGCAAGTGTGTTTAGAATATGCGCTACACAAAAACAAAGGAACGACGTCGCGAACATGAAACTGAAATTGGATGCAGTAGAAAGATGGCCGTCATTCCGCTGCGGCCTGTGCAGCAACAACCATCGGAATTGTGTCGTCCTGTGTGTGCCACCATATAGAAAATGGCAGAAATGTACCGAGATGACATCGTACATCAAGGTTTACGAGCGACGCTACACCATGACGTACGAGGTCTATGTGGTCTATGTGCGACATCCTATTTTGCATTTTGTCGTTGTCACAACGAAACGAGCAGGGACGACTTTTCCGAATGAGATCTTGCAAATGCGTCTAATACATTTAACCTATCCGGCCTTTTTATCAAATATGCCACGCACCAAATTTAGAATAAAAGCTTAAAAGGTAGACACACAATTTGGCATTTTTGACAAAAGAACGACTACGCTTCGAATTTGAATGCGGCGATTCAACGTATTTGTATTTTGCACGCATTTGCTGCCGGTAAAACTCCCTGGTTGTTACCAGTCTCGTGTAATCGCTAGCTGTGCGCGCCCCGCGCTCTTTATGGAGCTTTTAAATCTGCAATGGCATGCAGCGGGGTGTTACCATGGCAATGACATCCTCGCTCATCTTCGCGTCTCCCAAGAGAGTCCGCGCTCTCGCTTGTACTACATTCCTATTTTCGACCCTGTTTTCTACTACCTACTGGTACTCACCTTGGCATGGCGAATGGTGGATGATGTTTCGTCTGATGCTTCTGCTGCTGCTGCTGCTGCAACTACTGTCATCATGTAGAAGGACCACTATCGCACCATTAGACACTTCACTTTTATGGCATCGTGTTTCACTTGTCTCGCGGAATGCCATTAACACGAATCGATTTCGCAGTCCTATAACAAAATGTTCAATGTCACACAACATACCCATACATTCATAAAATGCGTGTCCCCATAAATGACAAATTTTTAATAAAATTACACGTGTAATCTCTTAATGCTGCCCTAACTTATTTAAATTTTAATCAAACACTGGTTAACACCAAGTGTAATTAGAAAACACGCGTTTGCACATTTGCAAGCATTAATTTCTAAGCAACACTGAAATTACACATACGTACAATTATCATGTTCTACACCGTTGTGTTGAATTGCGGAATCTAATTGCAAGTTTTGACACTCACATTCATTTTGCATTCGCGCACACCGCATGCATAAAACATTCGGGTCGCTGAAGATTCGTGCCAGTTGATGCTGGGGCAATTAGAAAATTAGGAGCAACGAGCAAGCGTCAGAATCGATCAATGTCGCTTTGAATTCATGAATAATTAGCCGATCACTGAATTGTTCCGCTAGGGCGACATGTATCTTGCGGTGTAATCAACTTGTATGCGTGTAAATCTATTAAACTCGGAATATGCAGCCCCAGGCAAGGCCAGCGCCCTGTGCTCTACTTACATGTGCACGTATATCAATTTGTTAATTATTCGATGTCTAGAGTCCCAAAGTTGCACTTAATTGATGATATGAACTATATATTATGACTTCAAATGAAAATATGCAACTCTGCCGACATTGAATTTTACACACTATTTTACCGGAACATGCAGATCTTATTACACTTTTAAAGATATACTATACCTAATATTTTGTACGTGTGCAAGTCGTTATTAAATTAAACTTCGTTGGAATGTATTTTATATTCAACTGCTTTAATCTATAGATGTTTTGTACATTTTACATGTTGAAACATGTCGATGTTTACATTCTTATCGCTCGAAGATGCAGGTGTGAATATTTTGCACAAGGCTGATTCACGACTAATTGCCCAGAATGTAGTACACACTGACATCTATGGGATAAATTTGTAAGTTTTATAAGAAAATTAAATTACGATTTATACACGCCGCGCCATCTCTTGTCATCTTTGCTTACACTCATCTTTACAAGTTTTAACATAATTAAACTTTATTCACCTTACTTTTAATTAATCCCACCCCCAAATTCCACTACAATCCTTAATAGTATCATTATTTTCACGCCGACTTCTTGTAACAGCACTCGCTTCACCTTTAATCACACATCTCTTGCTTCTTTGTTTCTTTTCTTTGATGTGAAGTTGTTTCCGAACTCTCTTTTTGATCTCTTCCGGATGTATAGTTGTTGCAGTTGATCTTATACTTCTGCTTTCAAAGTTATCATCAACTGAGCATGAATCAGAGAGCTGAGATTCATTTTCAGAGTGATCCGAGTTTGCGGTGTTTGGTTCTAACTTTCCTTCTTTCAATTTATCAAAAATTGAATCAACAGTGCAAAATTCTGAAACTGATTCATTTTCAATTTGAATGCTCTCCGTTTTCGTTGTTATTTCGTCAACAATTTCATCTTCAGATGCTTCTGATTGGACTGATTCACTTTCTAATCCTAACTCAATATTAATATCTCTTGCCATATCTTTAGTAAAACCAGAACAAGCAATTTCCGCGTCTAAATTATCCGAGCGTTGAATATCCGAAAACTTCGGGTATAATTCGCTTTCATAATTAAATCGTTTCTTAAAGAACACTTTGATACATGTGACATCCCTATCAAACAAAACTTCAGCATTAGCGTGAGCTGTTGAGACCATTTGCGGAAAATCAATGATGATTGGTTTCTCCTCATCAGTAATCATGATATTGAACTCGTTAAAATCGCCATGAATAACGCCAGAGTCAGCAAAACGAATAATTAAATTCATTAACTCATCATAGAGGCCTTCAACATCTTTTACCTCCATTACATTGATGCTAAAACAAGTAATAAGATATTTTAGTAAAATTAATGTTAATGTTGTGATTAAAATATAACTTACAGTGGTTTACCAATAACCAGCTCCATAATAACGCAATGTCTATTGTAGTCAATAGGTTTTGGAACAGGAAAACCTCTTTGATACAAAGCCTTCATATAAGCAAACTCTTTTGTTGCTGAAATTCTGGATAAATACAGCCATGAAGCATTCTTTCTGTGTTTATGGTAATCTCTTTTATCTTTGATGTTCCTGAAGCAGGTTCTTCCCAACCTGTGTAGTTTTAAACACAATTGTTCTTGTTCTTCATTGCCAACCACATAAATGTTACTTTCTTTGCCAACACCAATTTGATTGCCAAAGGAACTGACTATTTCTCTTTTTGTCAAGACCTTCAGGGCTAGGTAATCATAGCCCATATTTGTTAATCTGTATCCATCATCTACACAACAAATAGAATGAAAATAAATTTAGTCTATATGTTGTCTAGTATATTATCCACTTACATTTTTTGCCTCTCTCATAACTCAACAGACGATTCTTACACAAATCTCGGAGTAACTTATGAACACCACCGTGTTTTAAGTTTGCAATGGTAGCTACTAAAGCAGCAGGCACCAATTCATGGTTTTTCATACCCATTTCAATCTGTGTAGCAAACATTGCAAATAACAACGTTGACATGGAGTGTTAGGAGATAAAATTATTGTACTTACAGCTGTTATAACTCGGAAATCTTCTGGGGTGAGATACCTCAGCAAAGAAACGTTTAGTTTTCCCATATTTACCGACTTTTTAAATTGTTATTGTATAATAACAACGAAACACATGGAAGTTTTGTGGTTATACTGTATTAGTTGCAAATTTTCTCGTAGGAGGTATTGCACTAAGTGTACATTCAGTTGCCTACGTCAAAACGTTTATGCCAAAGTTTTAAATTGTATATTTTTGTAATTTGCGGTGATGTTTCTCAAATCAAGATCATTTTATGATAAATTGTTATTATAAACGTATAAATGTATGTTTTTCTGGTTGATTTATTGCACTGTAAAACTCCACAAACAAATAATAATCTGGAAACTTTGGTGCTTTTGAAGAAGCGTTTATTTTCATTCGTAAGTAAAAACTTTGAAACATTTTATAACGTAATCAAAAACAATGTGAAGCCTCTCTCATAGTCATATAAATCCGAAATACATGTTTGTTATATTAAAATACATCTGGCAATACTTCGTCCCGTTTATTGCCAAATTCTCGCGCAAAACACACACATTTACACATGCTGATACACGCATTCATTCGAGAACAAATCGAAATAGAAAAATATCGTCAGACAATAAATATAAATATTATTTCATTATGAGCAGATTCATTTCTTTGAGATTTCATTTGAATTGTTACTGTTGCTTGACGAACTTTTACTGCCCACATTTCGATAGGCGGCAAATCGTTTTTCCTCGCGCATTGACCTTTTCGGTACCACCGGATTGCGCTTCCGAGTATCACGTTCCCCATTTACAAATTTCTCCGTACCCGCCACATTGTTATTGTTACTTTTCTGCGTATTATTGTTTTCTGCTGGCGTTTGCTCGTTATTATCGTGATTGACGGCTATCGTATATTGGCTCTGGTTTATTTGCGCTTCCTGCACGTTGATGTTATGCCGGACGCTGTCGTCGCTTTGGTTTACTTTAATATTATGGAATGGTAGTGCCGCCTGCACGCCAAAGTGTTCGAAATTAATCGTCGTCTGCGAAGCCGTCGATTCGTTGCTTGTATACATGCTGGAATTTCCGTCTGATTCGAACGAGTTTGCTTGAATCATCAGCGGCTTGCTATTCTTATTGCTGCGCACATCCTGTGCTTGGATTTTATCCTTCTGCTGCTCGAGCGGAATACGCGGATCGATCGGTGGCGAGTATACTTCCGGTTCGATGCGTACACTACGCCTGCTTACAGTGGAATTGCGTCTTTTTATTTTTCTTTCGCTAGTTGTGTGGCCATTACTGATGCGTCCGTCTGAAATAGGACCACGATCTTGCAGCATTTCCCCAATGGGTCCTGCTTGGTTATCTTCTAACTCTTTATCAGAGTCTTCTAATTCTTCCTCGTCTTCTTCCTCAATAACACTGTTTTGAATCCAGTCGCGGATGCGGTCCTTCTTTGCATGTCTATCAACTGTGGTCTCTAAGCCATACGCTGTCAAAGTATGCAAAAGGCGATCCTTTTCTTCAGGACTGGAATGAAAACTGTACATTGACGGGCAAAGTCCTTCTTCCTCAGCAGGGACTTCATTATTTTTCTCTATGCCAACTTTGGACAACCAGCGGTCATTCATAAATCTATGTAGTTCCGCCAAGCCACTGGGCCGTTTTTCACGACGTGGTTCCAGGTACTTTTTGAATAAACGCTGTCCTTTGGAGGAGATTAACTTAAACAGTTTCGGCTGGCGGCCGATTTTCATAGTGCTCAAGTGCCAATTCAGATAGCGCACAAAACGTGGATCATCCCGGGCGGCTTTCTGCCATGGCAGACATCCGGTGAGGCATACGAAGATGACAATGCCAAATTGCCATACATCGTGGGATGTCACAGCCCTAGAGACAATTAATTTTGTGTAAGTAACTGCAAGTAGTGCCAAACTTAATGTAAGCTCACTTACGTATAGTCTGTATCCGTTTGGACTTGTAGCACTTCCGGTGGGGCGTACGGCAGCCATTCGTTACGACGTGGTACCACGCAGCCAACACGTCTCGTCTCGCCGAAATCGCACAGTTTAATACGCGAAAAGTCCGACTTAAACACTAGAATATTGTCTAATTTAACGTCGCGATGCACCAGATCGCGTGTGTGCAGATGATCCAATGCCGACGCCAGCTGCTTGGCGACTTTTTTCGTATGTGGCTCGCCGATGCCTGTGTCCTGGACGTTCGAAGTCAAATCGCCTGCGAAAACGAAAGGCAAAACGGCAAAAAAGCGTTAAAACTGGCAATAGTTTGGCAGCGTTCAAAACGCCGGACTAAAATAGCAACCACCTTCTTGTGATACTCGCGCGAATTCTGAACAACAACAACTTAAGTATGCGCATATAATTGCCAAAGAAATATCATAGCATTTGCATCGCCATTTCTTTGGCAATCACCGCAGGGCAATGTTAGAGTGATTTTTTTAAAATTTTATTTCCTTTGTTTTCGTTCACAAGTTTGGCAATGAATGGTAACCATTGTTCTTACCCAAAGGAGCGTATTCTTGTGAAAACACATAAAAACCAGCCGTCTCAAAAGCGACATCATAGGTGCTGATTATGTTTTTATGTGCGCCGAGATGCAATCCGTAATGAAATTCACGATAAAAGTCTCGCAATGCTGTGTAGGGTTTGGGTAAAGCTTTCAAGACCATTTCCGTGTCGGTCGCTTTGTGTTCAACGAGGAGAATTTTGCCAAACCATCCTTCGCCAACAATCTGCAGGATGTCAAATTCATCTGCTAAACTGACCTGTAAATACAAAAAATCGCTGATATTTCGCACAAAGAAGTAGTAAAAGCAAGGCAAACATTTGGCAAATATTGCACTCAAATTTTTATGTCACCATAAACCATAAAGCGCGCGTTATGTGAAATATAACAGATACATCTTTATTTTAATGTTGAAGTGGAAATTTTCGCTTTGGGAAAATGTTGTCTCTTATTCGATTAACAAGCGTTAAGTTGAGTATTTCAGGAGAGTGCTTGACCCTGAACGCCGGTGCGAATACCAGTAGCATATGTCTCTTAGTGCTATTAATACATCGAGACACAGGCGTGACAATGTACTCACAATTAATCACAGAAATTTCATAGAATTATAGAAATTTCCACTTAATTCTAATTCTGTGCTGTCTGCAAAGTTAATTTCACAACTTACACACGTTGTACTCTTAGCACGTTAGACATATGCGTACGATTGTTTTCTAACAGATTAAAAATACATAAGTTGCGTATAATTTGGATTAATTCCAATTAACTGCTGCGCTAGCGCCTCAACTCGGATTTTATCTGTTGCTAGACGTGACTTAATTACACTTTAAAGATTTGCCAAAATATAAAAATATCAACTACTGAAACTGCCTTAAACAAACATAGTTTTATTTGCTCTTACTTTTTCAAGTTCGAACTCTCGAATGCGGTGAATACTCCCTCCGATGGCGTGCTTCATCGGACTACCCATAACTACTACAGTTCTGTAATTTTCGCTGAACTCTTACACCAAATATCCAAATACAGTTCTCACCGCATTTTCGAAACAACCAATATCACTTAATTCTATGGTTAAGCCTATTTAGGTTCGACGCGTTCTAAGTTTAGTTTAAGCGTACGCTTAAGTCGCGAACTGAACTTAAGTCGTGGTGAAACAGCGCGGCGATGCAAGCGTGACTGCCGACGACTGCTCCCGGTCCCGGGTTTCACGCCACACCATCCCGCTCCCAGCGGAGCAACAGCAGGACGAGCAGAACATAGGTAGACACAAATCTGGGACATGCAACGTATTTATGGACGTCACATTAGTTAATTTAACGTCAGCGCGCGCGGTGCGATTCGGCGTAGAGCCGATTACAAAACGCCGCTTAATTTTCCTGCCAAAACGAAAGAATTTCATTCATTATAACATCGTTTGCATCCCGGCGACCCGGTGCTGCATTTTCACAATTGGATGGTAATGGACTAGAGTGCCAATATAATAATATACTCTTTTTATTTACATAATGCCTCCATTTAGTAATCACAGATTACAAACACTGATTTGTTTGATAAGTTCAACCTCTTATTATGCTAGACTGATAAAATGTCCCTGCGTAGCTCTAAATTGTCATCGTTTTTATGTCCGCCATCTTCGTTTCCTTTGACATCAACTGGGTTAACAGCCTCTTGCTTGTTATCTTTGCTTTCTTTAACAATTGGCGCCTCAACGTCAGCAACTTTTGTTTTTTCACCATTATCTTTAATTTCTTCAACAACTTGTAGTTTTTTGGGGCGAATCAAGAACTCTGTGAAATTCTTTTTTAAAATCTCAATATCTATCACTTTCTTAATTTCATCTACATGACTTATGTCCGTATCTTTCTTTACTTCAGTATTTGGTGGTGCAGCAATAATGTCAACAACACTAGCATTTCTTTTAGGTTCATTAATTGTGTTATCTGCATTAGATTTGTCTGAAACCTTAGCGTTTTGTAATCCTAATTGATATGACAATGGAGAAGCGTTTATATTGTTTGACTTCGCTGCTGAATCGGCAACATCAGCTTTCAATTCTTCTCGTTCCTTCTTGTCAGTTTGCTTGACAATATTTTTAATCTCAGCAACATTTTCACTTTCAACTTTTTGCAATAACTTCGTGTCGTTCATTTTATTATCTACAATTTTTTCGATGGCTTTTTGCGCAATATTTTGTATGTTCTGAACTGCCTTCAACTTCTCAGCATTGACCTGCTGTTGTGCTTGCTGTATTTTAATTTCTTCCATAATCTTCTTATTCTCCTCAAATAATTTCTTTTTTTCTTGAACCAACTGTTCATGTGCATCCCAATTCTCTTTGGCGTTGCTTCCCTTCTCTAATTCTTGGTCCTCTTTCTTAATTGCTTCAATGTCTACTTCAGCAACTGATTCTTTCAATTCCTTTTTATCATCAAGTTTAATCTCTTTATTTTCTATGTCTTCGCCAGGTATTTCCTTCCTTTCTTCTACTTTAATTGGTTCTACTAAGGTTTCTTCCTCTTTTTTAGGAACCGTTTCGACTTTTTGCAAATGATCTTCTGCTTTCACTTCATTGACTTCATCTTTGGGTTTATTTTCAATTTCAATTGGTTCCTCAGGCTGAACAGGTTCGTGTCGTATTTCTTTAATGGCATCGGGTATTTTTATCTGCATTTCTTTATCAATACCAAGATTACCTATATTGTTAATATCTTTCTCTTTAATATTAATATTTACACTGACTCCACTTGATGTTAACTTTTCATAGTTGGGAATCGGCTCTATATGATCAATTGCATACAAGTTGGCGTATGTTCCCAGTACCATTACACCGATGCCAATAACTAGCATAATTTGCGCCAAAATACGTTCGTTAGTATTTTTTTCAGTAAGACAAATAAAACAAGTCGCGGGGAAAATGACGCAGATCATAATGCCGATCGTCGAACCAACTAAACCCAAAACCAACTCAATGTTCGGTATTAAAATCCCAATTATTAGTGAAACCAATACGATTATCAAAGTTAAGAAGCGAAACTTTCCTTCAGGAATGTACAAATTTGTCGAGTCGTGTAAACCAGTATAAGTCTACAACATTTAAATAAATGTTAAATATTTAATATTTTAAACGTTAATGTAAGAGACTTACTGGCCTGTAGAGCAACGAATATAAACTTGCTCTACATGGGAAGATAATTAATGGAAAACTGAAAGCAACTGATAAGACAAAGCCAAGCTTCATTGTTTCAGTCACCATCGACGGTTCAAAATCCATTAGAATATTACCACTAAAACCCGGTTTATAAGAAACTGCAATATATCCAAAAATCCCAACAAAAATATACACTGATGTGCAAATATTGACAGCAATCTTCACAACTTCATTCATTTTCTCCAAGGAGGCATTTGGTATAGCTTGATAAATCTCAAACAATTGTGTTTGGCAAAACAAAGCCATGGAAAATATAGGAATACATTGTAAGACTCCACTAGGCCTCCAGAAATCAACATGCTCATACCACTTAGCTGTGAAAAGTTGAGGAGCAGCTTCCAAAAATATCTAAAATAATAAATTCATAAAAAATTGATGGAGATTAAGATATAAATCTAAATATTTACCTTAAACACTAGAATAGCATAAAATAATATTGTAGCAATACAAACACTGCTTAAACTATCCACATTTCTCAATAATCCTAATGGTAGAACACATAATAAAGCAATAGCAATTAAAATTGTTGTCCTCAAAGTTTCCATGCTCTTTATTTCAGTCACTTGGCCAATAATCTGTGGGCTAAGATCACCCATCACAACAAAAAAGGCCACACAAGTCCCCAATAGAAATCCTATCATGCCAATCTCAACAAATAGTTTGCCCACTGAACCAAAAACATGATATGCAAGATACTCAAATGTTCTCAGTCTGGCCTTAATTGCTGATTTTAAAAGAAAATGACATGCCAGTCTGCATAATACACTGCTGAATAGAAGCAGAACTATAGAAAGAACTATTCCACACTAAAAATAATGAATATATTTAGTTAATAATGAAATAAATGATGTTCTGAATGAGTGAATTTGACTTACTTGTTTGAAGCAGAAAGGCATTGCCAATATGCTCACCCCAATTATGCTATTAGCCAAAGTCATAACGTGTATACGTTGCTTGGAATCCATTTTTAAGGACTTATTATCACTCCGATAGAAATTACATTCTTTGTGGTAAAATTGAATAATTTGAGTACTGCTGAATGTGGCACAATTTCAAGTGGAAATGGTAAGGTTATGGACAATGTTTACTATTTTAGTGTATTTAGAGTTGCATGCATTACATCAGCAAATATAAACAAACTTGCAATAAACTTTCTTATTTAGTTGTAGTTCTTTTGTTGCTTCTTAGTTAACTTTTAAACAATTACACAACATAAACACTTCATGGCATAGAATTAATATGTATATAATTTCATTTAGATTCACGTAAAATTTATATATATTATAATTTTACATAGATGTTCATAGATACAATTAAAAAACTGCTTTAAATTAAGTATTTTTAATAGACTGTGCTCATGCACGTTGTTATGTTAAATTGGTAGGTCTCTGCTTCAGTATCAACTTGCCAGTGTCATCACAAGACATGTTAAAGTCACAAAGAACTTCACGCGCCCGTGCCGCAATTATACTGGAGGCCACAACACGCCTATGCACACCAAGTAGAAAAATGATGACTAAAACAATGTATACATGAATAACATGCTATATAAATAAATAAATGCATTATCTTACTCAATACTGCAGTGGCTAGAATAAAGAAGGGATGGTTAGAGAGTGACTGTGATAGTGGCACAATTCTTGTTATTGGATCCATTAGCCATTGTGAAGCACCAGTTGCAACACATATTGAGACACCTAATAACAAAACTGAATTTTTTTGCAATAAAATAACTTTCTGTCATGTGATTTATTACTTACTCCTCCAGCGTACTGTTGACGGTTGCAGGCAGGCTATAACTTCTGTTAATCGACGCTCAAATGCCTTTAAGTCTGTTTTTCAACCAAAAATCATACAAGTAAGTACACAAGTTGTAGATGATAGTTGATATAAAAAGTAATAGTATTACCTTCGCAAGCAGTCTGTTCAAGAGACATTGTAACGTTTGAATTGGAATTTTTTATAATTTAAGGGTGGTTTTTAAAGTTGGATCGAAATGCTTTTCACTTTGACATTATGATAAATTTATTGTTACAACTTTTTGCGAACCTCTCAAGGCAGTCAAAGTCAAAGGCAGTTTGTCAATGTTTCTAGGTTGGATTCGTAACTTTGGTGCATCAGAAGTTGTCTATATCAAAATGCTACAATTTGAGTAATCATTTTACAACGCAATTATTTACGCCTTAATTACGATAAGAAACAATAACAATATTTTTTAATGCGTAGAACTTGTTAAAATGTATATAAATTTTTGAAAATCCTTTAATTCATTTGCAAAGAATATCTAAAAATGATTAAAACCAAATTTAGTATTTCTCTAAACATTTTAACTAACACCAAAAGTCAAATATGAAAATAATATCCTGACGGGTGTGAAATAGTTAAAACGTAGAAAGAAGTGCCTCTATCAAAGAAACCGTTGACCCAAATCATAATTTCAGCTTTTCAGTAAACGAGCAAAACTTGTCGGTTGGTTGAGTACGAAAAAAAAAGGGGACGAGAGTGGATGAAACAAGCAACCAAGCCAAGCACCATACTCGTCCGTTCTCTTCGGCAGGAGCCGCCGCGAGCACATTCATCGCGTGCTCCTAATCGAAATTTATGAACAGAAAGTATGTCACAATAACAAAAGAGCGCCGGAGGACTTTGGCCTCTCACGAATCGCAAAACTCGCCGAACTTGACGCGATAAAACTGGGCTGATATCGATCGAGCGTGAAAGCAACGTTCAAAAAGTTTGCATCGTAGGTGGCGCCGGCGCCGCCACCATCCACCGCGCGAACATGTGACTAGCGGCGAACCGCCGCCAAGTAAAGGCGTTGTGTGTTGTTTGTTGTGCCCGGCGTAGTCGTGCTAGCCGCGAATGTTCCGAATTCGCGCCCCAATTTGTTGTACAACGCGTAGTATTCACAGCTTACTAACGGTTTTTTTAAATTGCCCCGAACGCCTACAGAAAGCTTGTAGTAAAATCAATCAAACGTTGTGATGTTTCCATTCTCCACCTGCATGATCTTCAAGTCGTGCAAATGGGTCGTGGTGCAGCAGTTTCCGGATGGAGCAACAGCTGATCAACAACATAAGGTATCATATTTTTACGTTTATTATCACCGCTTGATAATAAAATGATTACTATCACCGTATAGTATGTTAAACCACGTGCGCCGCACTGCCAATATAAATAGTTTAATAAATAAACATTTAGGGTAAACTGGCGAGGTTTGTAGATTAATTCGATACAAATATTGACCTAAATGAATTTAGTACCTGTTGACATATGGTAATATCGAAAATCGAGCTGGCATGTTAAAGGTCGAATGGCAATTTGTGTTTTGCACCCTCATGGAGCCGCAGGGTGTAGCGGTAGCTCACGAGCTCACAATGTTTTGATGAATTCCGAATTTTGTTTGTGCTCATCAATCACCTGTTGTTGACTTGACACCGTTTGTTGCCAGTCTCGCTCAGGAGCGCCTAGAGTCTCTAGAGACTAGAGAGAAAGGTGCAATTCTTTCAAAAAATCAATTCCAGCGAACAAATTGCGCTCTTGTTTTGACACATTCAGGAAATTAAGCATTTGTTTGTTTGAATATATACAGGGGTATTTTTATAAAACTGCACATAGGAAGTCTTAGAAAGTAGTTTAGTTTAATTTGGTTGTAATAGATGGCAACATGGAGCGCAAAACAAAAATGATTAACAATTTTTTTTATATGAGAAGCAAATTTAATAACTTCTCTTGAATATCGTGAAATATTTGAGCATAATATCAAATAAAAGTTCAATTATTTAAAGTTTTTTATATTTTCAATGGAACTCAACAAGTTTCTCATAGTTTCCACTTAGATTATTACTTTTTCGGTTGTCGAAACAAAAAACGGAAAAAAACATTTAAACGAACATTTGATCTTCTCCCCGAAGCACTTATTGTTTTCTTCTCTCAGCGTCGCGCATCGAGGGAAAACTTTTATTGTTCAAGTTTCTTAATATTATCTGCGTCACTTGCTCGCGAGCAGTAAAAACATGAACTCGACTACAAACTACACTCGGAACGGGCGCGAGAACACAATTTTGAAATTACTTCGAAAACTATGCGACGCAAGCAAGCAATACACACACGACTATGTGTTATGTAGTTTACTGCTTCAGTTTTGCTATTTCAGCCAACACATTCAATGTCCCATTCTGTTTATATTTATTATTCGTTTGAATAAATTGAAATTCGCGTTTATTTTAAATTTTCGTTTTTCAATTGTTTGTTGTTGTTCGGGATTCAATTGCAATTTAATTTTACACCGCGCATTTTATCTGATATAATTTTCTTGGAAATATGTTATGAGTTTGGTGGCGTTTAAATTTTGTATCAAATTACAGTGTTGCGTTAAAAGCAACCCTTTATGTGCGCGCTCGTACAGAGAGGCGTGCGGAGCTTTCGAACGAAGTAACACAAAACTCGACCGCCGGTCTCTAAAGTCTATAAAGTGCGCTAAAATTGTGCTTCGATGTTTCAGGCTGCGGGCGAAACGGATCGACGGTTATTACGGCTTATACTTTGGCGAAATATGTTGCTAAAAATGTTTTACTAGTAAATGTGCTTTTGGAACATTGTTTACCGGATTGCAAGGTACAAACTCTCAAAAACTTGTTTCGGCGAAAATTATACAGAGTTTTAGAAACATAATACTTCAGAAATTCGAAATTTGCATGAAGATTTATTTAATTAAACATAATTCAAAATTATGTATTTTGTGTGTTGTGAAGTGTGGATGCGCCGGGCAACACAAATTTTAAACATTATTTCGTGTATTTTTCCAACAGATTTTCAACGCAAAATAAATAAATTTTCATAGACATAGACACATCAAATCGTTGTGAACGCATGTAGGCCCTGTAAATTCGACGTGTGTTTTATAGCACAATATTTATTTTCGTTCGCTGCGCACAAATGGGATCATAATGACAATGACGGGCCGTAAAATTCGGCGTGCGTAAGCTCTTTACGTATTTTTTTTGTTCGCGCGCTCACGATTTACGAGTCGCAAACTAGTTGTGCCAACGCGCCGCTACCAATTTCGCGTAATCCGCGCAACGAGCGCATAAACAAAACAAGTTAAAATGATACAGCGTTAAAGGGCGTACTGGGTCGCCGCCGATTTCGATTTCAGCTGCATAAAATCGATGTGCTTTCCGGCTTTGCTCTGATTTACCAGCATACATTTGATGTCTTTTTGATTATTCTCTATCAGCACCGGTTTTATTTCGGCAATAGACGTAATCTCATTTCTCATTTCGTGCTATTATCAAAAGTTTACAAATGGCCACATTGGGCACCGAAATAAAAGAATGTATTACATTTTCATTCAAAAGTTTCATTTATTTTGAGTAGACTTGACTATAAAAGGTGCTAATTAAAATGCTTTATGCGTCTTAATTTATGCCATTGTAATAAATAGTAAGTAAAGTAAACACGTTACCAACCTGCTAATTACCTACCAATACGCTCGTAGACAATTCATTTGAATAATTCATACACGCATACAGAGCACAGTGAAATAATTACCTGGAAACGTATTTATCCGTTCCGGCGGCGTAATCACTTGTCTAAAAATAACGAAACGCTCATTGAGGCGTTCTTGCTGTCATGTGCATGTAGCCGTCGTCGAGTTTCACGTGAAGTACACGTGAAATTTCACTCCTAGGTGCATTGCATTTTGTGCTGTGCAGTGCGAAAGAAACACTGAAAGCTTTCGTCGGCTAATATTCTGCGCGGTTTGAGCGATACCTCTCGTTGGTGTGGTTTTTCTCTTCCTCACTTTTTGTGCATTTTCCGTGTCGAGAGTCGAGCGGTATACATGTTCCATTGACGCAAGCGATGCAAGTGGTTGGTTTATGGGTTAGTGTTGAAGGATGCCTCGCGCTTGTAGCGAGAGTAGCCTTCGGTAATGCACTCGCGATGTGAATTGCATGTTGGCCCAGGTCAAGACGTTCCCGAACGACGTACGAGCCACAGGGATGAACTTAAATTTATATTATTTGCGCCAGGTTATGTGTTTGCTATAGACAACGAAATATACAATAAAATCTTTATTTGGTAGACTTGTATTTAGGTTATAAAATGTTATTTTGCTTGCTTTTTTAATCCATACCTGTGTGGAGGTGATCACGAGTGACGTCATTCGGTTTTCCACCAATTCGCGTGACGCGCGATGCATTTTCACTGCACCCTCTCCCTCTTCGCTCCCCAACACACACAAATCGATAGCGCATGCATCGCACCGCGATGGATATTTATTTTTACACAAACGATTCTCGGGTGCCGTCGAGCAAAACATAAAACGACACGCTATTTACAGATAATAAACAAGAAATCAAGATTCCGCACACTCTCTAATTCTATGCCAGCTGCTCGCGGGTTGTAAAGCGCGTTTATGATGAACTATAGCAATGTGTGTCTGCGGCGCGCCGTAAAACGAAATTGCGGCCCAAATTGCCATTAAAACAAGTAACGCGCCCAAAAGAAACCGCTTTTTATGCGCATCCTGTTTAGATTATAATTTTATATGTATTATATTAATATCGATATTAATTTTAATTGAAACATCTGCGTAGGATGATCAAATACGAAAAAAAAACGGTGGTAAAATTATGCTATCATGTTGATATTATATTGTAATAATTATGGACAAATTCTCAAGGGCGATTTAATTCCGTTTCTAGTGTAGGATAGATGCGTATCAGTTAAAACGGGCTGTCGTCGAAAACAAACAACATGATTATCAATTCTATTATTACAAATACATCTAGACTTTATCAACAATTCAACAAGTGCTTGATGTAATCGACGCGTAGGCAAATATCTCGCCTAAATTTAGACGCAACTTGTACGCAGTAAAAAAACAATGCGCTAATTGAAAATTATGTGTCGATTAATCAATAAAATCATCATCTCGGAGTGAAGATTGCTTTTTGCACATTTGCGTCGCGCCATATTTATTTATACGGCGTGGTCGTAGGTGGCCGAATTCATTATGCGCGCACGAGCGCCAACGAACGTGACGACCAATAACAATTCATCATCATTGCGTTAATTACTATAATGTGTTATTGTTTCGAGTGTGCACTGTGTACATGAGTTTTTGTTGACACATTTTTACACGATTTTCATTGGTTCCGAATAACATGTTGTTGTAAAAATGTGTAATGTTGCAAAATTTAGTTTATTTTCAAACATTGTAAAGTTTTATAGCGGTAAATTAACTCTGCGGGCCTAAAAAATATTCCGAAATGACTGTGTTTTATTTTCTGTGTTTTGATATAAAATAAACCCGATTTTGGATAAAATACATCGTTTTGTGATTTTTTACACCCTGTAACTTTATAGTTTATCTCGTTTAGATCCCTCTTTAGTGCGTTTTGTATTCGAATCGGATGCTTTCATATTTCTATCACATGTCTTCAAATTTCTCATATTTTCACATAGCATCGCGAGTTACCGAAGTGGAGATGAAGTAGCTGCCAGAGCCCAGAGAGAAAAAAAAGCACAGTGAACCATATATCCTATAAATCATATTGGGAAGCATAAATTTCACGAAATTGTATATGCGCTCATGCAATGTATATATAGGCATTATGTGTACGAAATTATATCCAACGAGCGGAACGCAGGAACTGTCGAGAGCGAGAAATAACTTCCAGCGAAGTTTTGCGCGCGGAGTCGGAAAGCTCAGGCTTTTACGAGTACGAGTTCGTTTAGATTACCGCCGGTCCATGTTTCGGCGGGTTGCACTCGAGTTATATATCGCGTTCCACTTGATTTGAAGCATTCACCGCGAGCAACGAGGCTTTCCTTTAAAGTATTTTACCGGCGCGCGTTTTTTCCTCCTTCTCTCTGCCTCTGTGTGCCGCTTCCTTCCGCTTTTCTTAATATCGTTGCTTCTTTTTTAACTATTTGGGCGCTCTTAACCTCGGTATTTTTCAAACCGACTGAGACGCTCTCTACATATTGATACAGAGCTGGTATACAAAGTGGGATATAAACCAAGGCACGGAAACATTTTGCGAGGATTGGATGGGTAAATAAAACGCGCGAATGCAGGCGGCGCCTCCACCAAATCGACAAAATGTTTTATTGGTTTGTTGCCCTCGATATACATAGAAAATATTTGGTAAAACATTATTTTAGTATGTCTAGTGGTAGACCGCGTGCAGGGAATAATTAAAAGCTTATCAATTCCGTTTGACCATCGATGCGTGCTCAAAACAACGAAATATGAATTCGGTTCGTTAATGGCCGCTGACGGACAGGTTATTAAATGCTGTATCATCGGCGAGGAAAAATTGTTCAATTGCATGTCGGGGCTTGTGTCCTGCGTGCGTCTGTACTTCAATATCGTTTCGTGCATCGGAGCATTGGATTATCGGCTATTGCAATCAATTATTTATTTCACAATACAGAAACTGAATGAGAATATTTAAAATTAAATTATTATCTTTCTCAGTAATGTTTTTAAATACTTTCCTGAACTTTTTATAAATAACTTTAAAAGTATTTTTAAATTTTAATTAATTATTAGTCCGGTACTGTGTAATTTATAGCACGTTTGACGTAAACACTCACCTATAATAATAACCGTCCAATCGAGTCATTCAGATATCGTCGAGCGCGTCGCAGGCGAAGACGGTTCGACAACTTTACATTATTCGTGGCTAAATAATTTAAATCGTGTGCTATTTGCGGTGTGCCCGAGTGGGATTAAAAATAACTTTCTGGTTTATGCACGGGCTAAACATAAAACAGGTAGAAAATATAAAACTTTGAAAGTTTTGCACATTTTATAAATATTTAATTACTAATTACTGTTTTTTTGTTGTTTCAGGTATGTTCTCGGTGCTCTATTCAAGGCAACAAGTTTCGTGAGCTTTTTTTGTGCGAAAAAAGTTGTTTGCTTGCTTTTCCCGGTATGTATTTTATTTACGAGTATTTCTCTTGGGAATGGATTAAACTGAAAAGCTAAAAACCGGAAAAGCTTTTTGCTGAATATACTACCCACCTGCATATCCGAATTGTATTCCGGTTTTGCGGAGCTTTCAATGTTGTTTTTTTGTAAGTATCCCGTTATTTCGTGCCGGTGGCTCAAATGGTCGTAGTTTAGAATTTGAAGTGCGTCCCAATTTTGCAAATTCGCCGCGACGACGAGACGAGATTAAACTCCAGCGTCGCGAGTGCGCAAGGCTAATTTTCATTGTGCATTGTCTGCATCGTAGTAGCGTGTTGATGATTACAATGGCCGAGCGGGGGGCGGCGCATCGAGGGCGTGCAAAGTGCACTGGCCTCGATGGCCAACTGCGCGATGACGTCAACGCGAAAATGTGAATACGTGGAAATGCATCGAATGACATTCGACGTGTATGCGATGTGCATTATGTACATTACAATCGAAGCGAATCAAATCATAAAATGCTTTATGGATTGTGAATTTATTGCGGTGTGTTCGCGTATTTGGTTTGTTTGTTTGATGTTTACTCTTTGTATTGTGTTTGCTTATTGCATATTTTATATGTGTAGGTACTTCAAAAAATACGTGAACTAAAACAGAATTTATAAAAATAAAATTTTACCAAAACAATATATTTCACTAGCACTAGAGATAAACTTTTAGGAAAGTATCTAGTTGTGCTTGAGATGTTGATGATGATGATGATGCTGTACGAAGATAGCGCATATCTAAGATCCTAACTTAGAGCTATCTGGAAGGACACAAGCAGCTAGAGACTAAAGGCACTCGGTCGCAGACACTCCATTTGCCTTCACTTTGGCTCATAGCCTCATAGTCTCTGGAATCTGCAGAATCTAGATTGTCTAGTTATGCCCAGCACCGTGGTGTGTACGAGCTCCAGGCGACTCTGCTAAGAAGGATCTTCATGCTGCGCAATTTCTATGTCAAGAGTGTTGAGTTTTGCATTCGCGGAGCAAATTATTAATAAGCCACAAACAACTTCAAAGTCAAAGCCTTTCCATGAAAACAAAAAGAACCTGCTCTTATTAAATTAATATTTAATGCATAAATATTTAATAATAAAAATAAAATGTTGTTAGCGTACAGAACACACACACATAAACATTAAGTCAATGTAAACATTAATTGCATAATGTACACAAAGCGACTATGCGCTTTATCGCAATGATTAATGTTTTTTTTTTGTTTCGTGTGTGCGTGTGTTTTCAGATAAACATTTTCGATGAAACATCGCATACATTATGGTGCCTCAGTTGTTCCTCGAATTGATAGTTGATATTGTGGTATTCGGTCAGTTTTTGGTGCAATTAACTAATTATTGTAGTTTCATGTTCTTAATATTCTCAATTGTGCGATGCTAAACAGTGAGTACACAATAGGTTCCCAGTGCATTTCGCAAATGCAGTTTCCCAGAATGAATTACCGCGAATGTGTTGCGTTTAGTGAAATGAGACGCCCTCGGCGCGTGGCAGCGTGGCGGCGGCGGCGTGCTAAGGGATAATTTATGGTGGCGCATATTTTGCCCCGTGCGCCGCGTAGAAATAAAACTAAGCGAGTAGATTTATTTTAATTATATCCGCCCCGTGTTCTGCATACGCTCGCGCATATTATCGAGTCTTAATTGCGCAATTTGTTTTACTTTTCGTGCTTTTTGAAGGTGTGCGCGATTCTTATTGAAATTGCATGATTAATTTTGTTTTTGGTGCTTTAGTTGTGCGATTGAGCATCATCTCGCAAATTGTGTAACATCAATTTGCCATCCACTTCCGGCCAGATCAGCAGATCAAAGTCGTCGCTGGGGGACTTCAAAGTAGTTTTCGTCTTTTCGTATTTGTTTCCTCCGCCGTAGAGTAGCCCGTTAGCAAAAAATAAAATAAAAACCTAGCCATTCGAAGAGAGCTTTGCACGAAAGGAGATAAGCGTATAATATACGTGCGCCTTCGTTGACATGATTTATTACCCGAACGTTCGCTTTTTCCGGCTGCGACACTTTTACGTCTCGCTCTTCGACCGACGCCGGACGTCTATTTACCATTTGCTTTTAAAGTTTTAAACAAATAACGATGTATTCCTCAACGTCTCAAAAATTGTGATGTCATGATTTATAAAACCGCGCCATCTGTATGTGATGGAATCATAATCGAAGAGTAATCGATTTATTGATGATAAAAAAAAGTAGTGCTTTCATATTTTACGTATTATTGCGCTTGCTAACCGCACGAATTCAAGTTGAAAATTTAATTGGCGAAAATCAATAATGGCAAATAAAACGCGTACCATGTGAATGGGTCCTGAGCCTCTGAAAGCGGCAACACGCCGTTCCGGACCGATGCCCACTTTAATTAAAACTTTATTAACACACACACAGCGTGCGCGCATTGCAAAGTAATCACCGCGCGCGTTTTCCGAGAATTTTTGTTGTTTTATTCGACTGAATCGTATTGTATTAGAGGGCAAATTTCTATTTTTAATGACGCACTTGTACCAGACTCGCAGCTTCCACTATTACTTAATAGGGCTTCGCTTTTTCATGCGGCTGTCTATTGTAGAGTATTGCGCGCACGTTTGCGGTAGGCATAGGGGTGTCCCGAGTATCAGGAAACGATGAGGGGATCGTAGAGGGCGCGATGCCTATGTTGAATTATCAGGAAAGCCGAAAGGCGGGAAAGCGGAAAACGTGCGTTGCGATGCGTTGGTGGAACGAAGAGCGTATTGGTATATTTATGGGTGTTCGATACCTGACCGTTAGGGCGCGCTCAGATCAATACTCTCCCCTCATCGAAGGGTGACGCTCCCGAAGCGCTCCCGATACTTGCAGCCTGCATGTTGGGAAATCAGATTTGGAGAGATGGCAAACATTAGTATCAATAGCATAGAGTGAGATGGTTTACAGAGGGTGGAAATGCGGGAAAGCAGCTCTACCTTCTAGCACATTCTGTGTTCCTGGTGGAAAATGATTGGTAATCGTCAATACCTGATTGGTAATACGTATCGGAACTTGATCGACTCACATTTCGGCCGTATTTTACCTTTTTTGGGCTGAAAAATGAAGAATTAACATTAAAATTTAACAAAAAATTATTTACAATAATATTATATATAAATATTATAAATAATACAATAATTTACATTAAAAGATTGAAAAATGTAGGTTTTATCTGTTTTGTTTCCATGTTGCCCGGCGCATCCACACATACAAAACACGGTTATACGTGGGAGGCGCCGAGAATTTTCTATTATTAACGAACCTGTGCACACACAGGCAGAAATAAAATCTCATCGTCTCGGCGACAATATTATTAAATTTTCTTCCGGCGAATGTTACCTTTGGACACATGCATTTTATACGTTTTCATTTATTTTGCGAAAATAAAACAAACCTGAAAGCACATGCCATGATTACAAATTGCCATGTTTAAATTTATTTACGCGTTGAAGTACCTGCAATATTCCATGGAATACTCTACGTGTGTGACGTGATTGTGCAGAATTGCATTTTATAATTAAGTTGGCTCCATAATCGCTGTGCGCTGCACTTTAGCAGCGCTGTCACGAAATTAATTGAGATATACACGTCCAGCGCTATCGCTGAGTCATATCTTTCGATAAAAGATAATCTCTATTTTTATGCAAAGTGTAGGTACGATATGAAACTCATAGCTTTACTTTATTGGCGTGTCAACTTATAATTATTAATGGGGCTGTTAACGTCACCGGCTTATTGGAATTGATGTTTGGGTATTATCCATGTACTTTTTTATATTATTACATCATCATCATATCTTATATTCTTTATGCTGAATTTTTGAGATATTGAAATACTCGAGATAAGCACTGAAGTTGTGCGTGGGTAGAAGCGACGCTGTTTCACTTGTTATTTGCAGAGTTTTGCACAGACGACCTCACGCTGACGAGTCGAGAGTTAAGCACAGCCCACACAGGTGTTTTTATTTTATTTTATTTTATTTTCTATATCGTTTTCCGCCGCGGGAAGCGAAAGCAAAAGAAAACCAGATGCGAAGTATACGAGGTAAAGAAAAAACGCGTTGGTCTGTTGGTCGGCGGCCGGCGAGGTGAAATATTTCCTTCGCAAATATTCTCGTCTTAGCCCCGGCCATTCTTTGAGGTATTTGCTGTGTGCCACGTGTATCACCTGGGATACTCAGCGATACAGTTGTTTTTTGTCTAATGTCGATGGAAAAAATGTTTTCATATTTTATGTATGCTGCTTTTTTACGAAGAGAGCTTATCTTGATAATCGTCTGATTTTATAAATAAGTAAATGTGTTTCTAAGAAATTATGGTATAAAATAATATTTTTATAAATTACTTTATGCAGGTACGCACTTGAAATTCACTTTGATTGAATATTTATAACATTTTTGCTAATTAAATTCCACATAATAAATGAAAAATTAATTTGAAAAAGTTGAGCGTGGAGAATTTGTAATTTTATGCGTTCAACTTTGATGAGAGATCAATTTGCGCGTTGGACGCTCCACACAGGTTTCCATTATTACCGTTATTACCCCAGGTCGTACAACGAAATTCCCGAATTAATTAGTGTTCGACATAACACCCGCGCCCGTACCTCCAGAAACGGGACTATGCGCGTTTCTTTTCAATGCTCAGCGGAATGCAAAGCTCTAAATCCTCTTGCGCTGGCTATCTCCATCTCCATCTGGCGATATCTACATGTCGATCGATTGTGGCGTGTGTGCGTGTGTACGACCCGTAATAGAATCGAGAGAATGAAGAGAGGCAATAGCGCCGAAAACGTCGACTATGAATAGCATATACGCCGCGTGCGAATTCCAAAACGGCGTCCCTATTGTCTGTGCACCAGTTGGTTGTTTGACGGTAATCCTAAACGCCTAGAGGGCGCGCATGCAGAGAGCAAGAGTAAGCGCCCACGCAGCGAGCATAGCGCAGAGATCTATTAATTACCGAAGCTAATAAGATGAGATTTATCTTGTCAATTTGCGTCGGACTATTATTAGCGCCGCTGCTCGTGAGTACATTAGGGGGCGCCGCGTAATGAGTATCTCATTGACTCTGACAGCGGCGTGCGTGCGTGATTCAATTTCGCTCGTTGCTCACACACCGCGCGTCTGCTTCATTTAACATTCAGATAATATACTGCTTTCCAGACTATATCGAGATGATTTCATACATCTAATTATTATTCGCATTGATGCATTGATGTGAATTCTATAGTCTTAGGTTTGGGGTTGAGTTTTTCACGATGCAATCGAATATTGATTCGGAAAGGGTTGAAAGGGCGATAAGGGCCGCCGATTTTGGTGCCATTGGGATTCATTCGTTTGCTGCGCGTTGAATGCAAGCAAATGCTGGAAATAGTCGAAATTGCTATCGGATTTAAATGCAAAATCTGATGTTCAATGGTAAATACTCTTTTAACATTTGATTTACAAAAGCTTGAAACATGTAACTTTACCGTCTAGACTGTAAAACAAGGAATTTTTTACTTATACGTTAAATTTATTCATTTTTTCCTACAAAATTTATAAAAATATTCTTAGGAAATAAATTAAATCGTGCAAAAAATGCATTTAAAGATCAAACCAATTTACTTAATGTTTCAACTTGATATTATTTTCTTTTTATCAAAAGAAATATTTTCTTTGAATCAAGTTTATGTATTCTCCGTTGGTCGTTTTTTTCCTGTGTCGTTTATGAATATTTGTTTATTTTATTTATTAATATCGTACGTGTCCTCAGGAAAACAATTCTGCGAAAAACATGATGCCAGATCAAAAGATAACAAAGCGTCTCTCTTTTTTTTTTGGCTTTGGTGTGTAATCACATTGTCCTTTTATATATCACAAATACACTTGCGTTTGTGTACATTGTATAGATTTTTCTGTCTGCTGCGTGGCGGTATTATCTCAAGAAACGAAATATCCGAAATTGCTAATAAAAGATAATAATTCCGCGTGGAAATCATCGGACGAAGAAAATCCCCGTTGTTTGTCGCTTATTTTTGCGTTCTTCTTCGTATCGCGATCGCATTAGTGCGCTTACGTAAAGCGACGTCCTTCGAGTATATTAAAATCTTATTACTTCTCGCTTTCCACCTATAATTAGCAACGAAAACATTGATGGCAGAGGCAGATATCATATGAACATCCCTTGGGAATGCAATGAATCATTTGTTTCTTAGAAAACACAAGCATTAGATGATAATATTTGCAAAATTGCAACTTTTTGCAAAAAAATAGAAAACACAAAAAAACAAAACTAATTTTAAGGTTTTTTATTTTAGGAATTTTTCGTAAATCTGATTAGTAGATCAACTGAAAAGTTTAACGAACAAAAAATTGAAAAAATTACTTTTCTGCTACGTGAATAATGCGAATTTAATTCGTTTTAATTCTTTTTTATATAAAAAAAGTTACTATCAACCTTTAAGTGCTCTAAAACAATTCTTGCCTGATGAAACTCCAGTTATAATTAAAATTCTAACCAATTTGTTTGTTGCGTTTTTTTTTCAGCAAACAAGTAACACGCAATGAAAATACCTATGTACGGCAACAACAGACTAATTATTACTTACTTGTAGATATAACCGTAAAAGCACGTCGAGACAGGAGATGAACTTCGTGTTACCGAAAATTAATTAACAAAATACGGCGCGGGCGGGCGGCAGCGAGTAAAAAAAAGCGCATCCGATGAGGTTTATTGTTATAGTGAATGCGAAACATGAGTGTAGCATAATTCAGCCGACCGCGCTTTAATTAAAATTTTCTTCTTCGGGCGCTGCCGCAGACTTTACGCCGTTATAAGAAATTGCCACCTTTGCGACGGCGATGCGTGTGCATAGCAACCAGCCCAATGTCGGGGGTGAGAGTCAAGTCTGCGACTTTGGGTTCAGCGCACACGCGCGGCTAGGTAATTATGCGTGAAGTTATTCGGCATGTGAAGATATTGTGTTTTAATTAAGTATCGCATAACGCAGCCGAGCGAGATATTACAGATTGTAAAACTTGCACGCCGAAACTTAAACTTGAATTGTTTTTATTGCGATTAACGCGAAGAAGTTATTTTTATCTGATAATTTAATTTTAGATGTATAAAAGTGCTTTAAGCTTTTCTTGAATTTTTAATAAACGTTGCGCTTGCGTAAAGTTGTTATAAATTAATTAATTATTAAAGAATTACGCGCTTACAAACAGCTGGGTGTTGGTGCGGGTGTTTCGTCCAGGTACAAAATTATGAAATTGACGCACTTTTGCTTTCACCCGTTGTTAATCAAACGTGGAAACTCGACAACACGCGCCCGGAAAGTTATATTGTTTCGTGTCAGAAAACCACCGCAACTTATGTACAATCCGCTTTCGGAATCACTTGTTACGCAGAGTTTAATTAATTTTTGATAGGCTTGCTGTGCTTGTGTGGAATATTATTTATTAAATTTTAAATTGCGCGTGATGTTTATTTATTTTGTAATATCGCACGCCTGGGACGAGGCGGCGACGTGAGGAAAAGTGTTGACAACATCTGAAAAATTCAATATTCAATTTACCTTATTCAATAAGTTCTCCATAGTTGGCAAAAACAGGTAAGCGCTTTATGTGTACGAGCGCTTGTTTCGTTCGTGCACAGGAAAAGGATGTAGTCAGGCGTGTTTCTGGAGAAACGCATCAAGGATCATAAAATAAGATTTCCCAGGGCGGAGAGGCGCGAGGAGCGAGACCGATAGCCCAACGATAAGCGCTGATGGCTGCCTGATGGCTTAATGGAACACATGAGGCTTTTTCCTGTCTTTATTTTTACTTACAAAATACATTTCAGCAACAAACTGTGCTTTATTGTTTTACACATATTTTAATTTTTTTACGTACCTACTAAAAATAAAAGTACTTGTTTTATCACACTTGCAGCCATAAAAACAACGCAATCTTAATTTTATATTTTCGAAGGTATTTGGCGAAGAAAGAAATTAAAATTTAAATTTTCCGGCGATGAAATTTTAATTTTTCCCATGAAGGCAATACTATAAATCACATGCCGAAATA